AAGTGATTGACCAAAAGCTAACTCCAGTAAAGGGGAGCTCACCCTCCTCAGCATCCAATGTAATTGTCAAAGAGGAGTTTCCTGTCAGGGTATTTGAAACCTGAATTAGCTGCTCTGGATGACAGTTTGGAAGATACTCAAAAAACCTTCTTTGGTTTTTTTCTCATCACAATGAGTATCTTCCTCCTTCTGATGCATGCCTTCTCCCTAGAGTTAAAATATCACTGAGTTAGAAGCTAATACAACAACCCTATTAAGGCAGTGACATTATTGATGACATACCTCTCCTTTTCACATTTGGGGTAAGTCATTGGCCTTTTCAGCCAAACAAATTGCTCTTGTTCAATTTACTTTTGCTTAATGCATTTTGACTGTGAGAATACGGGCCTCTAGTGTTTCTGCTTTTGTGGTGCTCTTGTTCTACCATCCTAATTTTCAGATATTTTAATACTGCAAGTTCCTTCTGCAGGATTTTTGATACACTGTAATTAATTCAGCACGGCCGTCATTACAGCAGTGAAGCCTCCAGTGTTTTACTATACTTGCCCTTGTTACAGGGAGATGCCCCAGTGGAACAGCTGAGGCAGGAACTGCTTCAGGATCTTTTGTTGTACTTCCTTCTGGCCAGTTCATAAGTTAATAGAAGACAGGCCCTGTGCTGAAGCAGCAAAACCAGTCAAACTTATAATTTCAAAATAGTAGCTCTTCTATATAGATTATTCTGCTTTTGTTCTTTCTAATTCTCAATTCTATACTTTTAATAAACAATTTCATATACTAATGGATGCAGGTTGGCAAATGAAATATAAAGAGTTACAATAGAAACAGTTAATAGAAGCTACAATATCTTCCTCGTGTACAGACTGTTATAGTATTAAATGAATTTAACTGAGTGAGGCAACATTTGCAGAGCACTAAATGATAACCCTGATTTACTGATATTACTGTACTCCTTCTCCCTGTAGTATTTTGGTCACTCGGTTATTCTTAGGAAAATCTAGCAAGACTAGAGAGCAGTATGGTAAGATATCTTTAATAACTGAGTTATTAAGCAATGCAATTCACCTTTGTGAAGCCAGGGGAATTAAAGGGGCTCTGCATGTTCTAAAAGGCGATCTAGAATCATTGACTTAAAGGATCTAGAAAAGAATTCACACATTCCCTGATTATAAACTTATTCCTCCCCTGCAGATGAGGAAAATATTACTGAGGGGCATTTTGGTATGTGAAAAGATTGTAGAGAGAATGATATGAGTGTGTATGAGACCTAGAAGAAGTTCAGAGCTATAGCTCTAAGCAGATTTGTGCTAGTGAGTAAATGTTTACAATAGCTGTAATGTCCACCACAACGGTGGTTGTCTTATTGATTGGAGGAATATATGATAACATTGCCCAGAAAATGGCTTTTACTGTGAAGGCCAAAACGCATGGTGAATGCTGAATGCTGTTTCAGAATGTCTGCCTTCCACACACCTCCCAAACGTATCTGAATTGCACTCCAAAACCCTTAGTTTTGTGGAAGAAGCTGGGTTGTGTTCAGCTGAATTGTGTTCAGGATTTAAACAAAAAAATAAAACTTTTTCAGTAAACTATTTCTTTACTACTTCTGCTCCCTCAAACCCAGCTTTCAGAGAATGAGAACCAAATGTACTCAATATTTGCAGTCAAAATATATGTGAGGCTAATTTACTCCACTGTGGTAATGATTTTTTTTTTCTTTTAGGATCTTTGGCCATGGCTGAGGACCCTAATGACAAGCCAGGATCTGAAGGAAAGAGAGACTTGGATTTGGACAAAGAATTGGTGTTAAATGTATGTTCAATTTTATTGTTATACTCCATAATGCATGCTGACTGGTGAGCATTATTTGCAAGTAATTTAAGAAATTACCCAGAGCTTTTCCAGATATTTTTTGCTTAGAATATCTGAGTGATGTAGAGAAGGCTGATAACTATACCAATAAAAAGACAATATATGCAATTTTGTTAATGTTTTTTAAAAATAAAATTATTTAAAAGTCGAGCTATTTGAGGAATATAGCATAAATAAAAACAACACTAACGCTGCTTCTTTCAAGTGGTTTCTAGTTTTAATTTCCAGTAGTTCTTTTTGTTTGTTTGTTTTTGATCGATAAAGTGAAGGAATAAGGTCTCCAGAAGTGACTGGAAATAGTTTTATTCAAGTTAACTTTACACTAGCTCCATCTTGTGGCTGGCTAACTGTGATCTGAAGATTAACAAAGTACGTATGTTCTCTGGGAAAAGAACCAGGTCAAAAACAAAAAAGCTGTTGAGAAGATGAAATTTTAGTTATAATTTATTTTATTGTAGTTTTTAGTAAAATAAAAAGGGAGGATTCCTATGGAATAGGAAGCACCTGTGTGTTAAACTCAGAGTGTTCAGTGTGCTAAGCCTGAGTGTTCAGTATTTGCCATATCTAAGTGGACAGATGGCATAGTGGGGAGGGAGGGGTTTAGCTAAAATATTATTACTGAGTTTTAAGAATCACATGTACAGCCCCAATTATCTTTTATTTCATACAGGTGTTTAAAAATGATGCTGCTGATCAGGAGTTTAACCTTGAAGCTGCAATTAAAAATGTTGAAAAAATGTCCAATGAGCTGAAGAAATTAAATGGTAATTCTGAGGTCATTATGTAGCTAGCAGGAAGATACTGAGGCAGTGTTTGAAAGAACGTGCACTAGTGAATGGCTCGTGTTTTCTTGATCACTGAGCTTTTTAATGTAGCGGAACAATAAATTTGCTTTTGTTTTGAAAAGTTAATGAAACAATATTTACATAAATACAAAGTCATACTAGCTAAACATGGAAAAAGTTCTGTTAGATAATCGAAGTAGTTCCTGTATAGGAATGTAATAGTCTCCTAACAAAATACTACTAATACCCCAATGCTAAACCCTTTTTAACTGCCTTGGAGTAAACTGGAGTAAAACCAAGTCAAAATGATCTTTTTAGTTTATAAAAGAGGGACGAACACTTAAGTGCTGCATTAAACTGCCTTTCACTTATTTCCCATTCATTAAATGCCATGACAATACATTGTCCTTTGTCTTGCAGTGGAAAGTCAGCTACTGCTCTGTGACCTGATTTTTAATTTCAACTATCCTACAAAGGCCAAAGATTTAAGAGAAGCTGATGAAAAAATACTGGGAGTTTGAAGAATGGCGTAATAATATTCATTTTCATGCATTACCTTCTATTAATAGTCCATCAGTTAGAACTGAAGAATGATAGTATGGTTTTTCTCACTTAGAATAACATTATTCCAAATTGGAAATATAGAAGAAAAAAATGTTATAATTAGTTACATTTAAATAAAACTTTAAATTATTTCAAGTCCTTGTTATCTCTTATCTCAGTTCTGCTAGGGGAAATGGGGAAAGAAAGCAGCAGCAAAAGAGAAACTGTGACTTGTCATCTGACGTGCCTTCCTCATTCTAAAAATGCTCTGTGGAAGGCAGCTAAATAGCAGGTAACTTCTAGAAAGCCAAAACTACCTTCATCTTAGTGTCCGTAGTGACCTTTTAATGCATCTAGCTAGAAAAGAAAGGGACAGTTACTGGTTTGAGCCTCCTATCTTGAAAGCTTTAGGTAGGTAGCCAACATGTTCATGTATTTTGTTACAGTTAAAATGCAGACATATAGTATTTGTGAAAATGTTTGAATGTTGAGGTATGTTTTTATTCAGATGAAGTATATTTTTCTGAATAATTAAAATCAGTTTTATGCTGCTGAAAAAACAGAGTAAACAGTTGTAGAACTTTCTGTGAAATTTGATTACCTTATCTGAGAAGGTAATTACACAGAAGGTAATATCCTGCCTTGGTTTGTGGTTCAGGTGTTTCAAGTGAATATGCACACAAAGTAACTTTAAGGAAATGTGAGGAAGTCCAAGCTGTGCCTCAGACTAAGGTCTTAGAAAACAAAAGTCAGAGGAAAATCTAGGTAAACAGTTGTAAAAGTCCCACTCCCAGAGGAATTGGAAAGAAAAAAAAAAAACTCTTTATGCAATGTTTCTTTAGTAATCTTTAGGTTAGCTTATGTTTTAGAACTGAAATTATTATTCTTTTTCTTGCAAAAATACAGTACAAACAGAAGGCAATTTTGCAAGAGGAACTCAGCTTATCCTGCTTGCAGCTGCCTGCTATCTGAAAGCCTTGGGAGTGCCCTGCCAGTTCAGAGTCACATGCTGCTCATCTGGTGATGTCTGCTATGAAACCAGACTTACTTAATTCAGAGAGGAAGAGACAGCTAAAGGAAGGCCTGTGGTAAGGAAGAGAAGCTTCTTTCTGAATAGGGAAGAAGGCTCCTTTGAGGGGTAGGGTATGTAATCAGTGACTCACAAATGGTGTAGCAGATAGAAGGTAAAATCTATAGTCTGTTTTTCAAAAGAAAAAAAAAAAGGTGATAAGAAACTATTTAATAGATGAATAACACAGACACCAATCTTGAAGCCGGCTTAATATCCAGGGTTTTTTTTTGTATCCTTGAAAGTCGGTTTTTTTTAGGGACAGGCCAGAGTCACAGTTTTTTTTATAGAATTGCCTATGGCTGGATTTACTGAGAAGTGAACTGGAAAAAGAAAGCTTTGGTTGTCTTGGTGTGCAGCTCACCTATGACAAGATTTGGGCCCATTTTATATCACTTGACATAATGTAATTGCTACTGCAATTCAGACCTGAAAAATGCCATATATATATTTTTTTTTTTCCAAAGAAAGAAGGAGGCCTGAATAGTTCATCATGGATCCTCTGACTGACCATGGAAATCTTTTCAGTAAGAAATATGTATGTTGGAAGACAGTTTTTCTCATGGAAAGAGTTCTCGTGTAGTGTATGATGAGTTGGCAGTAATAAATACACTGTAGAAAGATTAGATTTATTGCATTTAAAGCATGTTTTAAAAATGAGAACATTGTCCTTTTTAAAAAGGGATTTTTAATTGCTTCTTTATGACCTGAGTTCAGTGAAAAAGGGAAATACCCTGAGGATTACAGACTACAGTAGAGTTTGATCCTGTACAGTGACCTTCATTAGGCTTTCATTTAACCATATCCTGCAGCATATTTTAACATGCACTGGTTTCTTGAACCCCTGTCTTTTCCATCAATCAGTAGAAGGGGCGTTCTTTGGAAGTAATCGATGATATCTGCTACAGCAGAAAAATCCTGTGGGGTAGAAAAATGAGAAGGCAATAGCAACATGTCAGAATCATTATTAATCAGAAGCCTAAACAAACATTTTTTTTCTAAATTCTAAATATTTTGGAATCTTGTAAGATCCAATAAATATCATTAGGTTAGCCCTTTTCATTCCTGCCATAATATGCAACTCCATAACTGTTTGCAGGAGTTATTGAACCTTCTGTGGATGTGGTGTGTCATCAATCTATGCAGACTTGGCTTGCCCAATAAGTAATGTTGCTCTGCTTGAAGTGATCATTGTGCTTGAAAGTCTAAAAAGTTGCCTCAGAAGTTCAGAAAATTTGAGTTCGCATCAACAGTATTGTACTGACTGCTCTGTCTGATGCCAATAAATCCAACGTAGCATTAGTTGAAGTGAGTAAGCCCGCAGTCCGGCAAAGAAGCTGTAGAGCTGACAGATACAGATTTGCCCTCAGCTGTGTATTTTCCTTACCTAGTATCTTAGAGGTAAATGCACTTTCCCTAAGCAGTTATATTGATTTCTATTAGCTGTATGCTAGGGCTAACCAGTCTTTTCTTGAGTGTAAACAGTTGGCTGATTTTACTCTCAGCAGTGTTGTATTTGCATCAGGAATAGTTCTAAAATGATACATAGTCTTCTGCTGGAGTAAAACAGCTGCCAGGTCAAGCAGCCTGACATCTGGATATTCCTTAAGAAGAAAGGAAGTAATACGAGAAAACATGTAGTACCTCTTTTCCTTTTAAGCCAGTTCCTAACAAATATGTGTGATTTTCCTCCTGGTAACGAATCTGAATGTTGTATACTTTATCTCTGTATAAAACCATCAGTACATATGGATGAGTAGCAGTTTTTCTTGAGCTGTCTCTCACCAAGAAAGTTCCATCCTGAAAGATGAAAAAATGAAAGACACATCATTCTGGTTAGCACAAAAATCTTATGCAGACCATTTTTGGTATGCTTTCTTTCATAAATCAGCTTTTTCCTTTCTT